TCTGAGACTATAACACTTTATATGCCCAGTGTCCCGTCTCTGTGAAAACTTGGCTCCTTCACATGTCTAGATCACATTATAATCCGTGTAAATTTCATTTTATAATTTTGGGTCAAAACTGCAAAAATAGGCTGCGTAAATAACCCGCTATAGGGTACTCCTAAAAGAGTCGGCCTCCCCTCATACCAAACTATTTTTTAACTAGACAGTTTTGTTTTGTATTCAATTTTTTTTTTTTTTTTTTCATCTTACACACAATCTTACATAATTTAACATTGCACACAATCTAACTTAATTAAACATTAAATACAATCTTACATATTTTTTTATATTACACACAATCTTACATAATAACATATTACACACAATCTTACATAATTTAATATTACACACAATCTCACATAATGTAACATTGCTAATAATAACATCTCCATACATTCTGTACATGTCTTACCGTGCAGCACTGAGCAAGGGTTTGTTGACTTCATATACAGCTGTATGAGGGGTGGTCACCCTGACTTCAGAATCCTTGTTAAACAAATTAAACTGAAACAAAACATAGTCGAATAAGATTTCGGTAGTACATTCTGTTAAAACACAATTTTAAATCAGGCTAGCTATGACTTTCTGTTATCATTCAAAACTTTTCTCATTTCAATTTTTGAGCCAGAGATTGTCATGCATTTCAAAATGCAACAGGAGCAAAGTAATGAATACAAGGTTCCAGTCCAAAACAACGTTGCAGCGAGAAAATAGGACATTGATATTAATGTTACCAAAGCCATCGGATAGCTGTGTTACTATACAAGTGTCTAGGATAGGGGCCTAAGCAACGTGTGATGCAGCTCTATTTGAAAGTTTATTCTTCAGAATCTTTTTAGAACATGGAAAAGTACCGTGAACAATCCATAGTGCCTAACCATGGTATCAAAAATGAACAAAGGGCAATAACTCTGTATGTAGTTGAAAACAGGACATTATTTATTCAGTGTCTCTCAAGAGATACCAACCCCATACTTGCCAACTTTTTGTGACTTCCATGGGTGAGATTCTGCATGCTCAAAATTAAAACATAAATAAAATGTGTGTATACCCCATAGAGACAAAATAACCCATCAAAATGACAAACCAGTATTTTGAGTTGTTCTTTCAGCTAAAATCATCAGATCCAAGAATATAGGAACAGCTAAGCAAATTCACTGGTTGAGAACACTAAATTTAAGGGCCCAAAATCGAGAGTCTCCTTCCTAAATAGGCAGGGTTGGCAAGTATGCAACACACAAATTATGGTAACTGTATGTTTCTGTTCTTATGAAACTTCCCCAGAACAAAATAACACTGAATCAAAGGCTATAACTCTGTCAATGGTTGGGGACAAGGCTAAAGGCTATAACTCTGTCAATGGTTGGGGACAAGGCTAAAGGCTATAACTCTGTCAATGGTCGGGGACAAGGCTAAAGGCTATAACTCTGT